CAAGAAAAGAAGAGAGATGTGGTTTGATTGCCACAGATTGTCTACCAACCTTGCACATTTTCTCTTGGCTCAGAACAGTTAAGGGAATACAGCAGACAGAAAGGAGCCTGACAGACACACAATCTTTTTTGATATCATCCATTCAGCAGAGAATGATTTAGAAAGAAAAGGCCTAAGTCTTATGCTGCATGCTGACATCAGTTTAAAGAAAGCAGATGAATCTTGGCACAATTAAGTCAAAGTTTCAAGAGAGATTTTAATTTAACATCCAGTTGACATTTGGAATTTCTGGTATGGGTTGAGATGATCATTCAAAAAAGAAAATATGCTGGCCCCTGCTAGAAGCTGCTGCAAAATTGAGAGCGGTCAAAGGACGCAGCAGTAAAGAGCAGGCATTAACAGTAACAGTGGGCAGTGGGAGCCCAGGAAAGAGTTTGTGGGGGCAAGCGCCATTAGCAATACCCACACTCTGGACAGTGGGTTGGTAGGTGAAGATAGATGCATGCACAGCAGTTAAAGTAGGCAGGAGGGAAGACTTGTACAGACTTCTCTCCTAGAGGGTAGTTCTCTCAGTGATGGCTCTAGAGATCCCACCAGGTTTCTCTCCTGTCTGATACCAAGTTGCATTACTGTGTCATAGAATCACAGAACATTTTGGGTTGGAAGGGAAATTTATAGGTCATCTAGTCCAACCCCCTGCAATGAGCAGGGACATCTTCAACTAGATCAGGTTGCTCAGAGCCCCATCCAGCCTGACCTTGAATGTTTTCAGGGATGGGGCTTCTACGACTTCTCTGGGCACCCTGTTCCAGTGTTTCACCACCCTCATCGTGAAAAATTTCTTCCTTATATCTAGTCTGGATCCAACCTCTTTTAGTTTAAAACCATTAGTCCTTGTCCTATTGCAACAAGCCCTACAAAAAGTTTGTCCCCATCTTTCTTAAAAGCCCCCTTTAAGTATTGAAAGGCCACAGTCAGGTCTCCCCAGAGCCTCCTCTTCTCCAGGCTAAGCAACTCTCACAGCCTGTCCTCACAGAGGAGATGTTCCATCTCTCTGATGATTTCTGTCACCCTCCTCTGGATCTGCTCCAAAAGGTTCATGTCTTTCCTGTAGTGGGGACCCCAGAGCTGAATGCAGTACTCCAGATAGGGTCTCACCAGAGCAGAGTAGAGGGGGAAGAACCACTTCCCTCGACCTGCTGGCCACACTTCTCTTGATGCAACCCAGGATATGGTTGGCATTCTGAGCTGTGAGCTGTGAGCACAGGCTGCTTGGCTTACATCCAGCTTTTCATCCACTGTTGCCCCCAAGTCCTTCTCCTCAGGGCTGCTCTCAATGTTTAATTGGAAAAGTTTGGTACCAAAGTACAAAAATATGGCAAGACAGTTTGAGGGACTGCAAACTGAAGTAGCAGAAATTGCAAATGCTACAAAGAAATCTGCTCTCAGCAAAAATTCGCGATTGGGATAATGGAGTTGGGACCTGTGCTCTAAGCAATCCTCCAGGTTTCTTGGCACCTAGCAGTGACAAGCAAACCCACTGGCCAGCTAAGTGATGAGTACAGCCACCTTGAATCACTGCTGTCATTTAAAGCAGCCAGAGTGGCTTCTGCACCAGATTCATGATTCCTCTTCAAAACTTCCCATAATTGAAGAGAAACAAAGAAAATGTCCCTGGCTTTAATTTTCACTCTGTGAACAAACAGCCAAAGAGCAAATACGATGAGAACCAAAATGCCAGCACAAAACAGCAACTTCTCTTTTCATAACTGTCTTTTTAAAATTGCATTTCTATTGAAGTCATAAAATCCCTTGGGTAGTTCCTCATTTTTGTCCCCTTCCTTCTTGTCCCTATTCTGCAAAGGGTCAGGAGGTCAGTACTCACTGTAAAGAAGCTGTGGACGATTCTGAAATTTTCATGCCACTCTCAGCCATCTCAATCGCCAGTTTTATCTCCATCTTTTTGTACAATGACACAAGGCTGGATTTGGGCTGATGTTTCCGAATTAAGATTTTCTTCAAATACTTATTGTCAAACTTCTTAAATCTGCAGAAGAGATATCAAAATCAAAGTGTGAAAAAAAGTGAATGTCATTTTATTTCTGTGGTACAAGCTGATCTTCATTCAAATGCACACATATATAATTCAGTGGTGGAAACTGAATCCAAATTGGAGGCACCTGTGGACTCCTGAAGGCCTAGTGAGCAGAGACCTTTAGAGGGACATTTGGCATGGTCTACTGGTCCACAGAGATTGCAAAGCCCACCAGACAAAAGAAAGAAACAAGCTGCAATCAGAGTGAAAAAGAGGACTCTGTGTGTGTTTACATATAACACCGTCACATTTGTCAGAAAAGAACATGGCCAGTCTCCACACTTCTGTACAAATGTTGTATTCTAGTAGGGCATAACAGCAGCAGCTGCTCTTACAGTAATTCTGGCCTATTCAGACAGCCACCAATGAGGCTCTAAATGGCCCAGCAGTTACAGTAGTTTGGGCCCATTATGATGCTGATAATTTTGAATGCTGACAATTAGAGCAGAGAAAATACGTTTCTTTGTATTCTGAATAACAGAGAAATTGAATGGACCACAAAATACTATGTGCTGTATGCTGCAGGTTGTAAAATATCACTAATGTGTGGTATAATTTGAATGTGAATATGCGTGCGTGCTTTGGAACAGGTATGTGCTTTCAGGCAGACATTTAGCAGAACAACAGTAGATCTTCTTATATGTTTCTTTCAAAGGAACAGTTTACCACAGCAAGGTAATGTTCTCCAAAATGCTAGGAAAAGCACTACACAGCTTGTACATTTTTTCTTAACAAAGGCTAGTTTTTATACATTAACAGCAGAGATAGGTACACAAATGTTTCCACTGTAATTAGAGCTCTTTATGTTTTTCTGTGTAACAGAAAGCCTCCTGGAGTGTCATCACTTAGTAATTAATTCCGATATACATATGCTAAATGTCTTTAAAGTTGCATAGAAAAGTCTAAGGAATACATTTTAGTACAATCTTCTCATAGTAAATGTCTTCACATACAGTGTGTTTTTTGAATCTGCCCCTGAACTGAAACACTATGTTTATGGCTAGCTTGGACAAAATTCTCTTTTCATAGCTGTTGGGTAGACATGAGATAAGGGGATAATATTTTCTTATAGATATCTGTAAATGCAGCTATTTAAATGGAATGACTGCTCCAACAGGGACTTAATTAGCTTATTGACTGCACAGACAGTGGTGTGGGCCCAGCAGATGTCCTAAAGCTATCTCTGTACTGTGAGAGCCAAGAGGACATTTTAGTGTCTGGGTCCAGGTATGTGCCCTAGCACATCACATCATTATGCCTCGTTGGGACAAGAACTGGATGCAAACCATCCACCTTCTTCCCGCTCTTAATTCCTGGTTTCCATAGAGAGAAAACCAATAATGAAAAGAGTTGCTACATGTCCCAACAGGCTCCCCTGGCTGGATTACTGGGGTCCAATGCTGAAAGGTTACAGAGGCCTCCAGCACAGAAGTCTAGGCATAGCTAGGATAACTAGGGGTAACTTTTAGCCCACAGCATCATAATAAGATGTTTGTGGGAAAGGAAGATAAGTCACTCCCCACACTTCCCTTCAGATGCTGTGGTGGTGGCCAACATGATCACACAGCTCCCTTAGGTAAAAGGTAAAGGGAATGGCAGCTCAGAATGGCAGGTCTGTCTCTTCTGGGCAGGGCCTGGAAGAGCCACAAAACTTCACAAAAACACCTCATCCTGCTTGTAGAAGACAATGCAGGTCCTGCGTTTCTGAATGAAGACTAGCTTGAAAGTATTTACTCATGCTACTGGCTTTTTAAGTTCAACCATTCCCTTCAGTGCTTTTATTTTAAATGTTGTTGAATGTAAAGACCTCTAATGACAGCTGACTAATTATTATTGAATCTGTACTCACCAACAAGGGATCATATTTGCTGTGGAGGCTTACAGCAAAAGTTAGTGAAGCACTGACATATTACATATCTTCTGTTCTAAATCCAGACCTAAAGGAACACTGCCGCCAGTCTAAGATTTATGCCAAATCTATTTGCACGGGATGATGTCTGCAGCATAAGTTCCCATGTTACGTTTTTCATTCAGAAGGCTTATTTTCTGCTTGTTTGTGCAGAAGCAATTTCACAGGCTTTCAAGTACTGCACTCCCAAGAGACAACAGTTACTCGGGAGTTAAATTTTTAAAAAAAGATATTGCACACCCCCCCAATATTTTCATGCTATTTTAGTTTTATGGGGAACAAGATTGATCTACTATTCTATTTACCTATTGTATTTTACATGATAGATAGGTTATTTTATTATAGTAGGCTGCAATAAGAGATGCTTACTTATCTCTCAGCTGATAATGACTCCAATGTCCACATATGTCTTCAATACCAGCCTTCAAGTGATCCATCAACTGGAAGAACAAATATGGAAAAATTTTAAGTGGCCATTATGAGAAAATAATGTCACCACAAATACACAATTTTTGGCAGGATTTTGAGATTTTTTTTTAATTGGAGTGTGTGGATTAATTCTGAAAGCACCTACATTTCTCTAAAAATCAAGGCAAAGATCCCACTGTGGCAACTCCTATGCTTGGCTGCTGTGGCAATATTTTGATGGAGGCAACAAGTCTGTCAATCTGCTATCATCTCACCATCACCCAGCCCAAGTAAAGGATTGTGTCCAATTAAAGATGATACTAAGCATCCAAACTGCCTGGTCCTCTTTGTCTACTGAGATCAAAAACTAAATTCTTGGTTCTGTCAACCAAGTTTCCCTTCTGCATGTGTAACTTCCCTGAGAGGGACACAGGGCCAGGCATGCCACGCCTTAACCTTTGCCCTGACCAATAAGTCCTCTGAGGATTTTGCAAATTGTCATGAGACTGGTAAGTTCATCACTTACAGGATTTTCAGTAATCTTTTGTGTGTTTCTAGCATTGTAGAAACAGACAGAAAAATGGACAGTTCTTACATACATATTGTTATAAGTGGTGTTTTTAAACATAAATTCCTTTCAAGGTTAATTGTAAAAGTTTAAATAGTAAGAATTAAATGCACTTCAAATTCAAATCAGTTGAGATGCTCTAATTTTGCTAATGTCTCTTCATATGCCTAATTTTAAGGCATGGTGTTTCTATTAATTTCAAATGTATTTACTATTGTGCAAATCAAAGCACGTACATATATTTTGTATAGCGTTGTTAAGTCAGTTTGAGCAGCTTTCTGTTGTTTTATATAACATTAATTTGAGAGCTAAAGCAGTTTGGGACAGGAAAAGGTAATGACTTCAGAATAACTTGAAACAAAATTGGAAGACCAATGGTTCAACTAATTTCAGTTCAATAAAACTTGATTAAAGACTTTTAAGGTGTCAGTGTGTCTTGAACCAGTTAAAAGATGGCAACAAACATATCTGTCAAATCTAGCTGGGAAGGGTGACAAGTGCATTTTGTAAATGCTACCTTTATGTTTCTGCCCTCCCATGCTCGCAATTATCAAGAAGTAAGGTCCCTACTACACGATGACACTTGTCGTACGATATTATAATATGATAGTCACTATGTATAAAAATGAGATATGATATTTTATAAAATTATGCTTAAGGCTTCCTCCAAATGTTACTAAAAGCACTCAGTGTCCAAATCCACTGAATGCCAGTGCTACAAAATGCCTCCCTCTGTCCACTCTTTTGGAATACCCTTCCTCTTCTTTTTAGGATACCAGCTATTGATAGAAAAAACTTACCCGCACATGAATTTCTTCATTGATAGACTCCTTTTTGTTGGTCTTTTTAACATCTAGATATCTGACCAGTGGTCCAATTGTGATTCCCTGGATTTGGAATTAGTTGAAATGTTAATTATCTTTTAGAGAAAACAGAAAGAAAGCAGAAGGATTTAGTTTTAGTCTATCAGGAAAGTTGTGACTTAGACACAGGAATGATCTATTACTTGTATGGAGAGATACAGAAGAGAATTAAAACTCAAAAATGTAGACAAAATGACACACCTAATTTTTTTAGGCCAGATTGTATTTATCTATGTTTTAACTACATAGAGTAACTGACTCACTGCCAACCTTCTTCAAAACAGCACGCACTTGAAAGAAAACCTTATCTTTGTGAGGTTCTTACAAGCTTGAAACCTTTTGCTTCAACATTTTCAGAAATAAATATTCTGGGTTGTTTTTTTTTTTTTCATGTAAAAACCATTTTCAGACGTTCCCAATTCTTTACTGCACTGCTACAGAATAGCATTTATAAAGGGGAAATGGAAATGAATTTTTTTTCCTGAAACATTCTTGTGGAATCTAAGTGCCTAACCACAAGTGCATAGTGCCTCATTGGCACCCTAGAGCATCTGAGATATTGGCATGGGAAAATACAGAACAAGGGATGCAAGACCTCCAGAAGATCCAGTTCTTCCAGGTACAGCAGTGTAAGCCAAGTGAAATAACCCAAACATCTGAAGTAGACACCTATTCTTACAAATCAGAATTATTCACTTTATTTTTCTCTAATATTCTTTTACAAAGGATTTCAAAATGTTCTTATTTGGTCTCCAAGAAAATGACAATAAAAGTAAAAAATTCAAAATCCTTCATAGAACAGACATATTGTTTTCTCTTCAGGTTGAGGTACACCATTAGTAGAGTATGATTCTGTGCTGAAGTATAAAGTTAAAATACTTCTTATTTTGGAAGCATTAGGAAGCACATGTGGAGTGAACCTAAGAGATTTGGGACACTAAGTGCCCTTTTCCTTGAATATTTCAGAAGACACAGGTTTTCAATACAGACTTTCTGAAAAAGTTATTTAATAATACCTAAAAACCCCTAAACAGGTAATTACACAGTGCAGTGCTAAATCTGGCCATAAAATACGATAGCTTATCCTAGTTTAAGAGAAAATTCAGTGCAATCTTCACTTAAAAGCTTTCCATCACAACTATTACATGAAAGCAATCCGTTAAGAAATACACTTACTTGGATGAACACAGTGAAATATATAACTACAAGAGTAGCAGTAATGAACAATTTTTTTCTTGGGAAGAGATTCACTGGAAGCAAGAATGCAAGGGAGAAGCTGCTGGCTCCTCGAAGGCCACTGTAGGAAATAATGAGTTGGTCTTTGAAGGTGAAGGGATATGTTCGGAACTTGTTACTGATGTAGAAGAGAGCAAATACACCTAGGAAGGGAAAAAATGACAACTATTATTAATCAAGGAGAAAAGGAAAGTGTTTAAAGCAAAACAACAGGCAGCTGTTGACAGACCTTTCTTTTCAGTTTTGGGTTCTTCTAGCTACTCTTTGACCAACTGCTGAATCCGATTATTGTGAAGTAAGCTCCTAGAAAAGACCATGGTTCCTAACTACTTCAGGATTTAAATTCACTTACGCAGTGAGATTAGGGGAAAAGATTTACTTTCTATATTTATGTTGCACACTTCTTCTCCAAAGTGTTCTGGAGACAAGACAAACCACTGGATGAGAGCTTTTCCTGTGCCTTCCCTTGCAATGTTTCCTGCTTTCTGCACAGTATCTGCCCAAAGTGTTTGAACAGTGCTTTACCAGAAAGTCTTGTGGACAGGTTCACTGAAAGGCAAAGAGTAATAGCATTTTAATTTTTAATCCTCTGGCTTATTGTGTCTCTAATTCTCTGTTTATTTCTCAAATTTCATTTTGCTTTTAATAAAAGTTAAAATTAATCAGACAGCCTGTGGCTGTGTAGGGATTGCAGCTTTTCTTTATAGAGTACATTCAGCAATTTGCTTCATTTAATCTTCATCTTCTGTAAGAAACATATATCCTATATTCTGTGTGGAAACTGTTAAATTACTGAAGTAAAAGCTGACAAATGGTGATAATTACTGGTGTTATTTTACACAGCTATCACTGATAAACTCACTGGATTATTATAGGTAAGGCCAGCACCAGTATCTTGTTATGTAGGTTGCCGGATATCACTTTATGTAAGAGTTTTTTGGCTACTCATAACTATGCTAGGCATCAGCTACACAGACTGAAAATGTGTATGTGAGGTATAACCCTCAGGCCAGTTCTCTTTACTTTATTCAAGCTTCAGAAAAAATTATGTAATGATTTTAGCAAAAAAAATTTAGTGGAAAATATTTCATCCTTCCTCTGGAAAGCTCTAGCACTCCCCTTGGTGTCTGAGAGAAGGATGCACATGTGGCAGCAAAATAGCTTTTGTATCAGGAGAGCACTTTTTCTGTATTGATTGGAAGGATATTGCAATACAGACTCCAAAAGTAAACCTTTAAAAGCTTAGAGGCCATACTTGGTCTAGAATTAGCAAGAAAATATTTAATTACTTTCTTTTTGCTGTCAACCCACAAGAATCATATCACCTTTACTGCTGAGTACTTGTGTCATCCCTATATAGTAGATGCATGTACTTGAACCTTCACAGGTTTCCCCTTTCCTATTTTTCCTCTGGTTAAATGCTTTTCTCCAGCTTAAAACTCGAAAGTCTTGAAATGTGTATGGGCTTTGAGGGTCAAGGCAACAGCTTCTTACTGCTCTGGTATTACTTTTGACTGAGGGTTAAGCCACCTGAGAAATTTAAGAAATAGCACCTTAATCTCAGATGTTTGATGCCAACACTTAGCTGGTCCCAAATGTTAGACTCAGAGTACTGTAGGCTGGAAAGGACCTTTGGAGGTCATCTAGTCCAAGTCCCTGCTCAAGGCAGAGCTAATCAGATCAGGTTGCTCAAAGCTCCAGTCTAGTCTTAGATGCCTTGAAGAATGGAGAGCTGGGCCACTGTTACAATATTGGATCACCCTCATGTTAAGAAACGGGTTCCTACTGTCTAATCAGAATTTCCTATGTTCCAGCTTTTGTCTGTTGCTTCTTGTCCTATTGCTGTGTACCTCTGAGAATTTTCTGCCTTGAATTTCTCTCTCTCCTCTGATCAAGTACATGGCACCGACTCAGCACTCTCAGACTCTCCTTTTACATACAATGCTCCAGCCTCTGACTAGGTTAGTGGCCTCTGTTGCACTTGATCCAGAACTTCCATGTCGTTACTATAATGGGAAGCCTAGAACCAGAGAGCACTTTGGAGACAGCACACACTTCCACCAGTGCTGAAGAGAGGGGAAGAAACACTTCACTGGACCTGCTGGCTACACACTTGCTAATGTAGCCCAGGACATGGTTTGCCTTCTTTGTCATAAGGACATAACTCTGGCTTGTGTTCAACCTGTTGTCTACCAGCCCAGGTCCTTTTCTGCAGAGTTGCTTGCTAGACTCTGAGCCTATACTGGTGCATGGAGTTATTCCAACCCACGTGTAAGTCCTTGCATGTGCTCTTCTCGAGCTTCACAAGCTTTTTGTCAGTCTGTTTCTCCAGTCTGTCCAGGTCCCTTTGAATGGAAGCCATCCAGAATATTGATTGCTCCCTGCAGTTTGGTGTCAGCCACAAAATTTCTCAATGTGCAAGCTCTATTCCATCCTCCAGGTCATTAATTAAGACATTAAAACAGTATTGGTGCCTGTACTGAGTCCTGTAGGATGCCATTAGCCACCAGTTAGACCAGCATGTTGAGCCCAGCAGTCCAGCCAACTCCCTTCCCACATTATCAACCACTTCAACTGGCCAAAATCTGCTCTTTGAAGTCCAGGATTGTTATTCTCTTGCTTGTCAGCTTGCTCACTGCTCTCAGGATCTTAGCATCCACAGTCTCATGGTCACTGCAGTTAATGCTGCCCTCAATCTTCACATCTTCAGCCATTTCTTCTTTCTTTATGAATGGTAGAGAAGGCAAAGCATGTTCTCCATTTGATTCATCGGTCTTCAGCAACTGCCACTTGCCTTTCCCTCTCAACCCTCTTTCGCCTTCCCTTTCAGGGCACAGCTGGCCCTGACGAATTACCTGACAGGTCTTCCTCCTCAATACCATAGCAGATGATGCAGGACCAATGCCCAGAGCTCAAGGCTGAGCTCTGTATGTAAAGGAAATATAGACAAGGGCTGAAGGCTGGAGGAGGTGGTGGCAGGTGCCCAATGTAGATTTCTGCCCCACAGGATGATCCAGAAAAGCCTCCTTTGATTATAAATGGATCAATGGGCAGATAACCTACTAACTTACTTAGCCGAAGTACATGCCTAAATGTCAGTGTTCAGAATGTCTCCTCCAAGGCCACCTTATGGAATATTTGGATTTCTGATTTTCTTAAAAAATATAAATTACTCTGAAAAAATCCTACTGAAATTAAAAAAAAAAAAAAAATGCTAGTGAGATGGCAAATTCAGGCACTCCAAAGTTAAATGTCAGAAATAAGGTTGCCTGCATAATTGTATTTTTGGCCCTCTCGTGTGTACTACTTCCAAAACATCTTTCATTACAAAAGCATCATTCACTCGTATTTTTAACTACATTTAAATGACAAATAACAGCGGCTGAGTAGGGTGTATTCCATAATTCATCACCTCTCCAGGAGTAAATGCACTTGCTTTCTATTGCAGTAGTTGTAACTCAACCTGATACAGAATAGAGTATTCAGGTTCAAAAAAGGATGACATAATTAATGAGCAACAGGTCCAAAACAGGAGAGTACCCTCTCTCATCCCTACCACAGGGACTGTAGATACTGGGGAAGCAAGAGGTGAACAAAGCTTGAAAAGTGGCAAGCCTTCCCTAATTAGCGTCTCCTGCAGGCTCTGTTGAAGACAGCACTAGAGGGTTGGTCTGACCCAGTAGGTCATTCCTTCTTTTCCTATGTCAGCTAGAGTGTTTGGCCGGATGGTACTAGTAGATAAGGGAGAAGATGGCAATGTGTCGCCTCTCTGCTTCCATAGTCGGAGTAAGTTGGCTAACAGGCACAAGAGCAGCTCGTACAAGAACTTAGTGTCAGGACTGCTACCACCTCCAGAAGATCACCAGCCTACTTATTGCTTCTCCCTTTCCAACGTTACTGTCAACCCATCCTGAACATTAGGAGATCAGAAATTTTCTCCCACAGCTCATGTGACATCATCTATAAACATGCTGGAGGGATCCCAGTCTTGCAGATTCAGGAATAGGACACCTTTGCAGGAATGGGGACATACTCTGTCTAGAAATGGAGTAATTTCAAACAGGCAGTCTTTTCTAGCAGTTTAAAACTTCAGAGCTGACTTATGAAGAGCAGTAGCATAGCATGGTTGGCCTAGATGTGGTATAAGGAAGGGAACAGGGTCACTGTTCAGTTATCTACCAGTGCTAATCTTCACCTTCCCTCTTTTTCAATGCCTCCAGCACTCCTGCCCCAGGACCTGTAGTGTTACAGCACCAGAAGTGTGGTGATGTACATTATCTAATTAGTAAGTTAATTACAGTGGGTGATTAAATCATTACAAAGCCCACTTACCCAAGGGCATATAGGTAACTAAGATATAAGCATCTCTACAGGCATAATTGTGGTAATATTTTAATTTTTCTTAAAATATTCCATTCTCATCTGATCATAAAGTCTGTGCTTGGAGACAAGCATTCAGATTTGTTTGGGGCTTTTCCCCACTTTTTCTCCATGTATAAACTTGTGAAATTATCTTGTCAGTAACATAAGCCTAGTAAATTCATTATTAAATTTGCTATGCCAGTCTGCGCAGACTCTTCTAACATACCTTTGCACCAAAGGTTTTCTCTCAGAGGTGCAGAGAAGATTGCCTGCAAAAGCTGACTTACTCAGTGTCCGCCAAATGAGGCAGAAGAGCAGAGTGAAGCAAATGAAGGCCCAGTTCCACTCATGGTTTTTCCCCACTGTAGACACTCCCATGAACACAAAAATCAGGGTCTCGCTGACACTGCTCAGCATCTTCATGAAATATTTTATTGTGGTATAGGAATTCTGGGAAACATTCTCCTCCACGTATTTTTTCATTGTCACTGCACATGCTGTCATCCTGTACCAGGCAAAACATCAGAGATCAGCCACAATCTGTTTTTCTTCTCATTTAAGAACAACCTCAGCCTTCATTACCTGCACTCTCCATCACTGGCTTCTGACCTTCCTAATATCAGGAAACATATTCTTTCTTGAGTAACATTAGCTATTTTGATAGATAGATAAGCATCTTCATTCAGCTTTACAAGTCCATTTTGCATACATGAAAAAGGAAGCAAACCAGTCAGCCTTCCTACGAGGAAGTGAGGGTTTCACGCTCCAGTTCAAAGTCCATTTTATCCTGAATGCCTAACACACAGCCACCAAGCACCAAATATTTGAGTCTCAAACAAAGGGCAAGTCAATTTGTACCAGCCTAGGGACGGATCGGTTAGAGGGACAGAACCTGCCTCTTAGTGATATCGTCCTTTGAGATGGTGGTGGGAGAACAAGGTGTTAGTCCTATGTCAAGGTCAAAGCTCCCGGCAGCTCCCTGCCAGCTGGATGGCAGACTAGCAGGGCCAGGGTAAGCATCAGTGACACTCCACCCATAGCAGCCCATTGCTGTGCAGCAGGGGGAAATTCAGTTACCTTACAGAGGTGTCCTTCCCTGCTTTTAGTTTTCCAGGGTGTGGGGAATGTGCCTAAGGAAGCAAAGGGATGTTTTCCACCTCTTTGCTGTTAATGAAGACTAGAGCCTGCTCCAAAGGGATTAGCAGCCACCCAGCACAGACATTGGTAACAATCATACAGAGCAGTAGTATTTGAGCAGCCCTACTGAAGGGGGTTTCCTCTTCCCCCCTTCATTTTCCACAGCCATAGCTAATAGACAGATCGAGTGCTATGCTAGTAACGTATTCCATCATCTATCTAGTTTCTACTGGTATTATTTTAGTCTTTGGGGTCTTCTTGTGATGATATTTTTCCAAACCTGTGAATCCAGAGAATGCTGACTGTTCATTAAATAACCCTTCATCTAGTTTCTGCTCATTTAATTTCCACCAAAGAAATCTCATGGGTATTCTGGTGGAGCTGAGATATTTAGCAGGTCCAAGGACACTCTTAAGACAAGGCCATTAGGCATTAATATTTAATACTGTTGACTTTCAGAGACACATGCATAATAGACTTTCTTGATTTAAGTGAAAAATGAATGAATTTCTCAATAATTCAGAAGGGTAACAATAAGTTCCTATCCCTAAAACAAGCAATAATTTCCTTAATGAAACAGTAAGAATAATAAATCCCGATTATATTAACATTCTTCTATTTCTAATAGTTTCAGCACTCTAATGAAACTAAGAAGCAAAAGAAATAAAGAACTATGTAGTCTAGTGTAATGAATGGGCAGGGAAGCAGTATTTTGGGCAGTGCAGGTAGCAAAGCATCCATATGGTATTAATGCTCGCTGCACAGTAGGTCTAACCCTGCTCAAGTAAAGTCGCCAGTCACCTCAATCAGAGCAAAAGTGTTGGATATGCAAAAGGTAGTACAAGACTTGTCTGCTTTGTTGAATTGCTCACAAAAACATATCTCCTGTCTAACTACATATTTAATATGGTTAAATAGTCAAATATTGCTTCCCAGGGCCTTTCTGCAAAGGTTGTTTTTACAAAGCCATTTCTGCTCTGAAGGAGAACAAATTGGGGTTGTTCAGCCTGCAGAGGAGGCGGCTCTGGGGAGACCTCACTGTGGCCTTTCCGTAACTTGAAGGGGGCTTATAAGAAAGGTGGGGGCAAACATTTTATTAGCAGCTGTTGTGACAGGACAAGGGGTAATGGTTTATAACTAAAAGAGGGCAGATTTAGACCAGATATAAGAAAGAAATTTTTTGTGATGAGGGTGGTGAAACGCTGGCACAGGCTGCTCAGAGAGGTGTTAGAAGCCCCATGCCTGGAAACATTCAAGGCCAGGTTGGATGGGGCTCTGAGCAACCTGATCTGGCTAAAGGTGTCCCTGCTCACTGCAGGGGGGTGTTGTACTAGATGACCTTTAAAGGCCCTTTCCAACATAAACTATTCTGCGATTCTGTGATTTTAAGAACTCGAGGTTTGACAAGTGGAGGTGAGTAAACACACCTGTCTGGACATCAACAGCCGCATGTTTACATTTATTAGGTTCAAACCAGTTTGTTGTCAGTAAAGGGAACTCCTTTCTGGAGCACCAGGACCCTCAAGACCTGGCATACAAGCTCAGAGCTGACACAGGCCATGAAAAGCTTCCGCCACCCACCAGCTGGGCACTGAGCCTGCAGCAGCCAGCAACACTAGCTGGAGCACTTACCACCACCAGGTTCCCATTTCTTTACCCTGCTGAGGGGCTGTTTGGTGTGACATCTTTGAAATGTGCCTACTAGCAGTTTTCTCATAAAGTTTCTCGTTTTCACCCTTATTCCTTCCTTTCTCTTCCGACTCCTTTCCTGCTACTGTTCTCTTTCCTTCCCACAGTACTCACCCTCTCTGCATTTACTGCAGTCGATAGACCTGCCAGCTTTCTCTCTACAGCAGGTACCCATGCCATGACAGCACTTTAAGGAAGCAGTCCCCAGCGTTATCACAGTATCAAGCTATCCTGATCACATCAAAATATGATCGTCAATATCCATACACATGGTGGTTGGACTAGATGACCTTTAAAGGACCCTTCCAAAACCCAAACTATGGTATGATTTTATATGTATGCATATGTGCTTGATGTTCTCAGTTGTCTGGTTTTGCCCGGTCTCAGTTCCAGTGATGCTGTTAAAACGTGATGTAATTCCAGTATATTGTGTTAGAGCTGATGTTCACAGCTGTATCAGCTGTATACAAAAGCAAGAACTCTGACGTTCTTTATCATGTTTTCCATACTCATTACTTTTCATCATTACTTTTCATCTCTTGCAATCTGATGGTGACACTGCTTAGAGATAAATACAGGTACATTGATCTATTATCAACTCGTTCACTCACTCTGCTGATCTTGTCAGAGGTACGAGCCAGATGGTGGCAGCACTTATCATTTTACCCACAGCTTGCAGTATTCATTCCAAGAGGTAAAAATTAAAAAAAAATTCAATGCAGATATGCACTCCTCAGTAGTACATCCATGCCTACACTGACTGTGGGCTTGCTTTTTCTAGTTACCACTGCATTTTACAGATCCCTGAGAAGCCATCCACTGCAGATGTCTAGGCCAGAGACTGAAAATGCCTGTATTGTACCAACATCGAGCAAACCACCTCCTCAAAACAATGCCACGTCCCTCGAGAGGGTATCCAAAAAGCCATAAGGGATACTCACGCCAAAATGCCTGAGATGTAAAGGGTTTCAGCGGACAAGTATGACAGGTAGCTGAACATGAAGACCAGCAGGGGTTCAATAGCAGAAACGTTGTGGGTGAATCGAGTCATGAGTGCCGAAACAAATCCAAAGACGATGCCAAACAGCACGCCACCCAGGCCCACCACGAAGAAGCGAGCAAAGCCAGCAAAGACGTCGATGGATTCAATTTCTTCGTACCTGTGCATCTGGGTGAAGGCGATGAAGATGTTATATAAAACCTAGATGTGAAAATAAGGAGACAGCAGTCATGCATCTTTCTGAACCTGGCAGGCTTACTCATTTCAGAGAGGTGTTTGTGTGTATATATAAGTATGTATATATATATATATATGCCTGAAATTGCTTTAGATAGCTCCACAAAGTAGCAGTTGAAACCTCAGCTGGTTCTTAACCAGTCCCAGAATTAAAAGTCTGTTAAGTGTCCTGAAAAATAGCAAAAAAAAAGAAGCATAAGTGGTTAGGTAAAATTCTGGAGGACCAAATGCAATTGAGATAACTGAAAAATACTCATGCTCTTTTGTTTTCTGAAGGTAAACTTCGTTATTGCTCTTTGTAGCAAACATTGAAAGCCCAGCTGGGTACCTTACCAAACCCAGGCTCTCTTCTCCACATTCTCTTTCTGACTCAGGATGGGGCAGGACAGCAACTAGGAATCACACTTTTGATTTAAGTCCCATTTAGGTTGTCTGTGTGATCAGTAGACTGGGCACACTTAATTAGATGGACTCTGGAATATTGACACATAAAACTAATGAAACATTATTTGGAATGGGAAAGGAAGCAGGAGAGGGAAGGGAAGGGAAGGGAAGGGAAGGAAAGGGAAAATGGTAGCATCAGCTTCATGTTGTCTCTAGCTAGATAAATTCAGCCTCTCTACCCTCACATGCTTTGTGTATGATGACACTTACTTAACCTCCTTCCCAGGAATTCTGTGTCAATCTCAACGTGGGAACCAAAAGTTGTGGCACTCTAAATGGCCTGAAGACCCTTCACACATATATTTTGACTAGAAAGCTTGAAATTAAAAAAATAAAATAAAACAATGTCAGATTAGAAGAAAGATCAAACTTACTACATTATTTGTTGTCTAAAGATAATATCTTTTTTTCTAGAGCAGATAAGTTTACTTCTATTGTCAATAAGTTCTTTTCTGCAGAAATTAATGGTGAAAAATCTTCAATATATTCCACTTTCATCCGACTTTTAGAAACTAACAGAAAGTTTCCACACTAATGATTGGTGTAGTAGTAAAAAGGTCTTAGAGGTTGCTGACAGTCAGTTAACATTAAGTCCTGACAAATCTGTTTACAGGCAGTGCATAACACATGAAAGTCATCTTTCAGTTTTCAAGGGAATTTGGGAAACATCTAAAGACACCAGTTCTCCAAAGCTGTTGAACCAAAGCATTAGTTCAAAAACGCAAAACAGACCAAAATCATTTGCCTTATCTGGGTTTCTTTGGTCTTTCTTCTTCATATAGTTAATTCTAGAAGGCTATTAAGAAGATTAAAGTAGATATTTGCAGGTAGAAGAGTCAAGCTCATTAGGATAATAATTATTCCCCAGCTACTATCTAATCTTACATTGCTGCTGGGAACATATGACCTTGAGCTGTCACACAGCCTGTTCTCCAGGAGGCTCATTGCTAATATTTCTGGGGGACAGGCAAAGCACAACAAAATGTTTCGTGTGAGAAAATACCCAGAGCTGTTTTTTCCTGGTGACTATGTATGAAATTAGGCTCTTCAGTGGCAGATAAAGAAAAGAGGCTTCATGTCTCCACAGTGAGTAAACCTTACTGTACTTATCATATAGCTTTTAATTACAAAGCTTATTTTCTCTCTGTTCCTCCTTTCTTGTAGACTTCAACCTCTTCCTAAGACTTGTGATTTATAAATGATTCGGAGGCATGAATCTATGCTGACTCACTAATAAAGCAAATTATCCTCAGCAGATGATTTAGTAAGATTTTCTATTTTTCTAGTTCCTAAAGTGTCTATATGGTGTAACTGAATTGGCATTAAAATGGAAATTATGGAAATATGACATAATTTCCATTTTTTTGAAACATACTTGTGGAAGTAAACTTCTGTACAACATCATGCACTACATTATACAAGTAAGGCTCCATGCAACTGCTGCTCAGCTAAGTTACGTTGAAGTGTTTACGCCAGTAAATGGAGTACTGTAATTCTTCATACGGTAGGAATGCCTGAATCAGCTCAGGATGCCTTCATTCACTCAAAAAGAAGGGATGGACTGATAGCTGGCCTTATTTAACAACTCTGAGAATATCGCGCTTTGGGTTTTTTTGGCAGGGACATTACTGTGTAGTGGTGTACCACTGGGTGGCTGTTAAAGCCACGGAGAGGAAGAGAGATCGTGACACTGTCGCCCACAGAGGACCTCTCCGGGGACTGGTCCCTGCTCCAGATGTCTATATGATACAAACATTGCACGTACCATCCACATCAGAAGCGTTGGAAAAAAAAAATTTCAAGTGACTGCCTTAACCACCAACATCAGCAGCCTCGATAACTCTTTCTTTCCACACTGTTAACTCTTTCTGACCTCACACATTTAATTTTACTCTAAACACAGTGAGTCAACTTCAACAGCAGGAGCTGGCAGTAGCTCCATCCTCCTTCCTAGCACCCATGTATTCCAGTGGTCACAGCCTTCCTCAGCAACATCAGAGAGGTAAATTCAAATCCCCTCAAATAAAGAAATCAGTTTTACTTAGGTCTCCATCATACAGTAGATTTATCTGCTCTGCTACTGCATACAAAGAAGAGAGGGCACCATTAAAGAGAATAGTCACTGCCACTTCGTTTTGAGTACAGCACAATGTGTAGGTCTTCTCAGTGTTTCTAAAATCAAGCCCCAGAGATGAAGTAAGCAGGGGAAATATTCCATTTCCTGATGCACACAGATGCTCAGCTCCTGTTGAGACAGAAACAGTCTGTGTATGTGCTGGAGCAGAGCTTCAGGTGCCCGAAACACTTTGCAGCACAATCAGGGTCCTCCACCTGTGTTTGGGTTTGAATGAAATCTGCGCTGGATTTACCAACATCACTGTTTTGAATAGGGCTTTGAAACTCCACTAATGTATAATACATGCTAGGACCAGTCCTGTTGCTGTCTGTGCTGTTGTGATGCTAACAGTCCACTCAGAAGCAACTGGGAAAAGAAGCACTCAGCAGGACTTGGAGCCTTCTTGTTCCATCCACACACATGGCCCTACTGAGGAGAATGGGAAAAGGTACAAATGGATGAAAAGGGTAAATTATCCACTTTTGTCTCTGTACTTTAGTTCAAAGGCATAACTCCTAAATTATCATTCTATGTTATTTTCCAATTTTTTTACACGAGGTTATTGAACTAAATATAGGATAGGGAGCTATTGTTGCCTCAGATGTGATACATAAATCCAGTGAAGTTCATATCAGTTTTTCCTGCTGGGGAGAAAATATTCAAACTGATAAGCACACTGGAGAGAACTAAGGGATATTTGCATTTAAATAATTAAAAATACGCATGCTTAAGATATCTTGGTGACATTATCTTTTTAAACACATAGACTTAACTCAAACGAAACTGTTAAGAGAGAAAGAGGGAGGAAATGGTAAGATAAGACACCTGAGATAAACAGTTTTAAAGCCTTTAAAAAAGTAAGCGGGGTATCAGAGAGAAGAAAGCCACTTATTGGGCTCCATCCAGGTGACAAATACGTCAGTCTTCTCAAACATGAAACCAGGTAAAGGTTTTGAAAACTTGAATGCTCAGAAAATGGAGGAGAGCTGGGTGATGCAGAGATACATCAGCAGGAGCTGACAAACTGATTGTGACATAGCTGCTGTGAGAAGAGTCCCAAAGGCGAGGGCACATGGGGCAAAGGAAACGCAGTGGTGCAGCCAAGACTCCCCATGTACAGCCCTTTCATCTCTTTTGCTGGCACACCTAGTGCTGCTGAGGAATACCTAAATGTCACTGTTTTTAAAGGCTTTCTGTCACGTTCACGCTGTAACAGGATCCTGAACAAGAGCTCATGTAAATACCATCATGAGTTGGGCCCACACCATAAATAACAGGAGGGAACAAAGGGAAGGCAAGGTAGAGAGCCAGTCAAAAAAAAAGGATGAAACAAGCATTTCCAGAGTGAGTAAGAAGTATTACTTCTTGCAGTCTGCCCTTGAAGGAACCAAAAAACGCTGGTGGAAGTGATAGATGCATTGGGGATGTTTTTGTTACAACTATAACACGTAAGCAGTTTGCATGTAAAGTTGAGTAAAATTTGTCCCTTAGTCCTACATCAGCCCTACATCTCTGATTCACCAAGAGAAAAGATTTATGATCAATAGGCTGTGGCTGCAAGAAAAGACTTCGTTCCTTTTCACATTACTCATAAACTGCACTTCTCCCATGAAGTCTTTCGGCAATGAACTCTGTACAGATTTAACAAGTCCAGGTTGTGCTGTACCCCATGTATAACAGTATCTGAATAGTTTTTATGTGTTTTAGATTCCTATGATTCAAATTCTGTAAAGATCTTATCTAGCAAAACTCCTTAACCTTCAGTTAACTTGCAGCACATGAGCAGTCCTGTTGGTTTCTGAGTAATGAATTTCCTGCTTGAAATTTCTTCCTTGAAAAACATGTGTGTTCTAAGTGTTTTTGTCAATTGTGGTTTACAGCTAGAATTTCAGGTTGTTCCACGTTTTAGTAGAACTAATGAGAAAGGGTCTTTGTAAAAACACTTTTCCTAATTAAAAAACAAACCAAAACAAAACAAAAAACCCAAAAAACCCCAAAACAAAACAACAACCAACCACCCCACCCCACCCAAAAAAAAACAAACCCCAAATAAAATCCATTTTATTCCAGAAGTATTGTTTCTGGACACTTGATATAAGACATCCAGGAAAGGTGAACATCCATCAGATGCCAGGTTTTTTACAGATAGAAAAAGAGTTATGCAAAGCCATTAGTGGCTTTTGGAATTGCTTTCTAAGGTCTCTGGGGAATATCCTAGAAGGGGGTGGAGGAAGGAGTGTGGCCTGCAGTGGTTACTCACATCTGTCTTTTTTTTTTTTTCCAGAGGGCTCTGTTAGCCATGTGACGAGGCAGAGTCTCCTATATTGCTACCTCTGCTGCTTTCAGTCTTTAAGCAGTATAATTTTTTTGTTTATTTGCTTGCACAATGTCAAGAATGTTCCTAGGTTTTACACTGATCCTACCATCAAAATCAGCTGTAGTTTACCCATTCACTTCAACAAATGCAAGAGCCAGATGTGATGTCTAATGTGTATGTGTATGCGCCCATCTTTCAGCAGCTCTAAAACAGTATGTTTTTGAAAAAGTTAATATAAGATGTAACTTTTACATACATTAAAATTACTGTGTGGAGTGGAGTACCCACAAAATAGATAACGTATCTACAATCTCCTTAGAGCTACTCTTGTCCTGTGCCAAATAACCCTACAAGCCACAAAACCCCCAAAAGGGTATGCTGGTTTTGGCTGGGGTAGAGTTAATTTTCTTTATAATAGCTAGTATGGGGTTGTGTTTTGGATTTGTGCTGGAAACAGTGCTGGTAACACAGGGATGTTTTAGCTATTGCTGAGCAGGGCTTACAGGCCTTTTCTGCTTCTCACAGCACCCCGCCAGCAAGCAGGCTGGGGTGCACAAGGAGTTGGGAGGGGACACAGCCGGGACAACTGACCCCAACTGACCAGAGGGATGTCCCATACCATATAATGTCATGCTCAGCACACAAATCTGGTGAAGAAGATGTAAGGGGGAGACTTTCAGAGTTATGACATTTGTCTTCACAAGTCATCATTTCACATGATGGAGCCCTGCTGTCCTAGAGATGTCTGAACACCTGCCTGACAATGGGAAGGGGTAAATGAATTCCTTGTTCTGCTTTGCATGTCAGTGTGGCTTTTGCTTTAACTGTTAAACTGTGTTTATCTCAACCCACAAGTTTTCTCACTTTTACACTTCCACTTCTCTTCCCCATCCTGATGTGGCAGGGAGTGTGTGAGCGGCTGCGTGGTGCTTAGTTGCCAGCTGAGGTTAAACCACACAGAGGGGAAGACAAGGAGTGGAAAGAAACTCACCACTGTTATGCCATCATTTAGCAATGACTCTCCGAAGATCATCATGTAAAGCTGCTCATTAACAGAGGCTTCTTCAAAAACTACCAGAGCTGCCACAGGATCCACAGCTGAAATCATGCTGCCAAAGAGCAGGTTCTGCAGCAGGTTCAGGTCAGTCAGGCCAAAGGCTTCAATCTGGCAGACTCCGTAGAGGGAAAGACCGATCCCAAACGAGTTTAGCAGAGATCCCAGCACAGACCACCACAGGATGGACCCAAAGTTTTCAAAAAACGGGCGAGTTGGCATGAAATAACCCTCCTCCAGAACAATGGGTGGAAGGAGATATAAGAAGTAAATACTTGTGGTCATCACTGGTGGAGATTTGTGGTCAGAAGCAAAGATGATTGCTCCTACTAGTGCTCCAATGGCAATCAGGATGCAGCTTTCAGGCATGAGTCTTGGTAACCGGTGATAGAGATGGAAACCTTGAATAAAACATTAGGATATCACTCAAGTTTAAATTAACCTGACATCAGACAGATGTTTTGCCTGCCTTGAATGCTTTGTCTTCAGACAGGCAGATTTTGCTCTTACGGTTATGAATGTAAGAACAGGAAGTACTATTCCCTTCAAAATTAAGCATTCCCAGACTTGTATCACTAAAACAGAGGAAGAGTTTGGCCATGAATCTCTTCCAGCTCCCTAGCTCTTGATTTCTAGGCAAGTGTGCCTGAGTCTAAGCTCACCTTCTAGGAATGCAGAAATCTCTTTGAAAAGGTACTTGGAAAAGGTATTTGGAAAGAAAATATTCTTCAAGAATCCTTGCCGCCCAATTGCTACTGCCAAACCTCTGAGGTACAGTATTGTCCCTCCATCTCAAAGAGACCTATCCCTGGCTGCAGCTCCCCCCAGTGCTGAGGGTCTCTGGCTGCAGAGCTCCCACTGGATTTGGGCCAACCAGGAACCTGGAGAAGCCCAAGGGAGCAGGAAGCCGTTCAGGTGCCACAGTCTGCTCAGCTTCCTCCACTTCCAGCACCCCCTTGAAGAATTGCATGGGCTCCAGGTGATCCGCAGACAGAGGGGGAGAGTACTCATGAACAACAAAATATCCAAAGTAGCAGGAATCAAACCACAGTAACATAAGGCTTTGTACAAGATTATTAACCTTGCTTTTCTGGGAAAAATGCTGTTCCTACATAAGGTAAACAACATTCTGTAAAGAACCTTATAAGTTAGTTTACTCAAACAGCAGAGCTGAAGGAACTACCAGCAGTCATCAAATATCTGCAAAAATAATGTGCCCTAAGGGATTTTTTTGCTTCCTCACCAGAATAGAAATTGAGTCTACACTAGCAAATTAGGCAGGCCAAAGACTTTTCCAAGCAGAAAGGCTCATCCTGCATCCATACAGCCATATTCTCTTCCCTACGCCAGCAAAAAGTGGTCACATCCAAACTGCCTGTGGGAACAGAACCTGGCCCACAGCCTGCCCAGGCACTGCCTCAGAGAAGGCTTGTTGACACGAGCCAGAACTGAGAAGGAGCACACCAACACTGATGCAGTACAGACAGTCACACACAGCTTTCTGACAGGGTGCTTGTTAGTTTACAAGCATAGATGTAGCCAAGCTGTTTTACAGAGGAAGGGTTACACTTACCACATAAATGTTGTGGGTGTGGATCTCCTCCTGCCTGCCTTGACGTGCTACTACTGCAACTGTGTTCGTACAATTCTTCCCCATTTGACATAAATACTGATACCAATACTAAGATAATTCTAGCAATGGCTCATCTAGTCACTATACTGGGAACTGTGTAATCATATTGAGAATGAGGCGTGCCTTTACGAGAAGGAATTTTTCAGAATTTACATGAATGAGAATGAGGCAGACTAAGAAACCTATAAATCCAATGCCTGTGTTGCCATGTCTGAAAATAGGTCAACCTTCATCCCGTAACTCTAGAAGCTAATACTACAACTGCATTTCTGTGACCCTCAAATTATCAATGTTCAAAAGTAAAGGAAAAGAAAAAAATTCTTAGGAAATTTCAAATAATTTTTTAGGAGACAATTTCTTTTTAACAAAAAGTTAAGATCATAACTCTACTCATCTCCTTTTTTAATTAAAAGAATCATGTTCAAGTCTTCTGTCAGTTTTACAGTTTTGCCTTTCAAGATCTCAGAAATGTTTCCCACCCTGAAATCTTGAAATCCAGAAAGAAGACAATACCTGAATAAAACACTGAAAATTTTTTACAGTTTGGAAAACTTCTTCCCTGGGTAACCAGATTATTCAGACTAACTCTTTCTTCCAAGTAGATTTGAAGTCAGCAGCTCCACACTTTTCATCAAAAATAATATTATTTGAAAACTCCCAGCTAAGGAACAGGTCTGCCTGGGAGGCATCACACAGTTCTTCTACAATATCTGTTTCTTGCTCAAAACAAGAACATTGAGGAGATGTGCCATATGGCAAGTCCTGTGCTTTTATGGATGATGAATAAAGAGATTGATCAATCTGCTCACTGCTAACACACTCTGCTGATGCCATAACAACAAATTTGATTTGTGAAAATTTTTATGATTATTTTAGCAGTGAAGACATTTGTTTATAAGAATTGGATTGAGATCATCAGCTATTATGAAACTGTCAAATCATGGTCAGTGGTAACGATTTTCCTCAATTGTGTGACTATGACATGAAAAATGTTTATCTTCAGGCCACCTCCGGAAAATCATCAGTCCCACCTACCAGCCTGCTCCATAGTAACGTTTGAAAATCCCATGGAAAGGTCAAAAGGACAGGGAGATCACATGTGTGCAGCTCTTCACATTATTACCATCTTCTTCATTTATTTGATATTGCTGCATTAATTCTGAATGGTCAAAATAACTTGTGCCCAGCCATGCAAATGTGTAAGACACATGGTGAGCCATTTTTGCTATTTTAATTGCAGTCCCTCCTTCTCCGTGAGTTGTCTTTTGTCACCCCTAAATGGAGCTCTAATAAAAGCTAGAGTATTGGTATGTATTGGTATGTATTCAAAAGGCGCTTACCCTACATCTCTGATGACCTACACCCTCCTAGACTCTCAGTCTTTCTCCTCTGACATTACTTTCTGAGCAACTTTAAACAGCAAACATGCAAAACAAAGACTCATAGGGAGATGTTTCCTATTATTCACACAACAAGAGAATTCTTCCCACTTTTCTGCCCCAAATGCAATATGCATGAAGTCTCAGTCTGGTGTTACTGATTTCTACAGCTGTGGTAGGTTGTAAATTCTGTTAAAGACTAGAAAAAGGGATGGACAGCACTATGTAGGGCAGCTCTGTTGCTACTCACTATCATAGACAGCCCAAGAGACATGAGGGTTAGAGGTCATATATTTGCTTAAGTAAGGTGGAAGCATCCAGAGGCGGAATTTTGTAATTGTCGTGGTAATAAACACACCTGTTCTTTTGAGGACAGAAGCTGTAAAAGCAAACCCAGCTACAAAAATGTATAGAAGATACTTGGTTACGTGGTATGTTTTTAACTTCTTGACGAGATAGGAGGACCCAAGATCCCGTTTTCTACTTACCTATTTTTGCAAGAGAGGCAAGGAGGATCCAAAGAGTAACTTCATAGGGAATTTGCACATAGTCATAGTCCACTGTGAAAACATGTAGCCTCGTATCTTGTGAAGAGCCAACAGCACCCTCCTGATCAGGTTCATAGTGAGACAAGAAACTCCTGCCTAGGCTGGGTTCATCCACATAAGCAGCAGCAGAACAGCATACCAGACTTGACAACAACAGCAACCAGTTCAAAAGCTTTGCATGTGCAAGCACAGCAGAGCCCATGTCTGAGGCTGTGACTATTTTATTACAGATATATCATATAGCGGGTGCATGAAGGTATGCAACACTCACTTCTGTTGATTCCTATCGCTCATAGCCACGGCCACTTCTTCCTCAGGGCTGCTTCATTTCCCTATTAGACGTCATTGTAAAAGCCCTAGTGTGCCTGTCCTGTTCCTTGTGTTACAGGCAGACTTGGAGTTTTTATGAAGATACTGGTTCTGCAGGTTCCTCCAACCCAGATAAAACTTGGCCACAGCATCACCCTGTTAAGGAATAAAAAGCCCTTTCTAACGACATTACATGTGCAGCCACTCTGATTTTTTTCCCACTGTCTTTTTTAAAAAAAAAAAAAAAAAAAAAAAAGGCTGCAATGCACACCATTCAGGCAGCAAGCACAGCACGAGTAAATAGCATCAGGTGGGAGAGACGGTGGCACCCCGGGCAGGCAGGAGAGCCTGCTCCATACCTTCCTTTCCTGCTCTCACCCTCCGTCTGCCTCCCCAGGGCGATTGGCACCTCAGGTGCCACACTTGGCACTGCTCACTGGTCCTGACTCGCCTGGTAACAAAACTACTTGGTGTGTAAATAAATGGACTCTGCAGGGCTTACAGTAGGGACATCTGGTGGAGGACCGCACAAATAACGTTCTGGTTTAGAAACGTGTCCTCTCAAATACATGTATGTAACTTAGCATATTATAACAATAGAAAAAGGAAGGTCTGAGTCACATCACATGCCTAAAACTGGATCTTGAATTGTCTTGTATTTTACATTCGTTTTACTTGTGCCAGCAAGGCAGTTACTGGACAGCCACATTAATCTCCTCCAACATAACATTCACCCTTAGGGAACATTTTTTCAAAAGGCCAGCCTCTTCTCTCCTCCACAAAAACTACCGTGTTTAGTGTTAGGATAACAACTAGCACAAACATAGTAGTGTTGATTAGAAGCTGCTAAAGCCTGTATTACATACATTAGAAGTAAGTAAATGTAATTTACTGACAAATTATACAAATTGCCTGCTGATTTGGTTGTGTTGGAAAACAGTGCAGACTAGTGACAACAGAGATGTACCCCAAAACAACTAGTGCTGAGAACCCTACTTCCATACTGCTATGTGTTTGAGAGGGGATTCCTTCAGGCCAACTGGTCCCACAGACTGACACTGTCCCTTCCTGGGTGGAGGATATCTTCCACTTGACCTTCTGTGGAAAGGCATCCAGTGTGTGCATCTCTGATGCTCTGTAGTGCAAAGCAAAAGGCAACAAGTGATGACAACAGGGAAATTTGCTTCAAAAGCTTATCATGATCTAACTAAATGCACAATGTAGGTGCAACTGCAGTGTCAAAATTTTTTGTTGTATAGCCAGTGATGCCATTTGGTGTTCTGTTTCTACATGAGGCACTATCTTCTGCTTCTGCCCCACACCACCAGCACCAGTCCTACCACTGAAGGCTTTGAACTCAATACAAAATAGGCAGATAATGCTCAGTCTGCTTGCAAAAGAGTTGTTCTTTTTTCAATATACTGGTCCTGTTAACAACAGTATTTCCTGAAGACCCTTTCCAAGAAGGAATCTGGCAGATGAGTTATTCAATTAGCATTGTAAAACAAGGATTTGTGAACTTAAAGGCCAAATGAAATCAGAAGAACACCAGATCAGTGGCTCTCCCACTTAGATTTTCTTAAGACCAAATATTGCATTTCACTTAGGTATAGCCATACACACACAGACTGCAAGATGCCTTGAGAGTAAGTGGTATGAACCCTGGAGAGTCAGCAGCTGGAGGACTGCAAGGAAAGACTTCAGAGTCCCTGGAAGTCTATCAGCTGTGACAACCAGGACTTTGATTTACAACCGCAACACACACATAATACCAACAGGTTCAGTGAGACCCATGAGTGACCAGCACCAGACAGGATCAGCAATGTGCAGATGTCTCCAAGTGTGAAATGTTTCACAACTGGTAGGAATGCTTTCTCCCACTGCAGGAAGGATGGAGATGCCTGGGATCAGCCCTGACACAGTGCTCCTTCTTTTCTCAACCCCTTCAGCACACCCACTTGTAGCAGTCTCCCCGTGATACTTCCTTGATGCTCTCACAGGAGGAGGTAACTCGTTTAAAGAGTTTGGATTTGTCCCACTGGACTGCACAGGAAAACTAAACTGC